ATTTATAAATTAATGGAAAAACAGTTTAACAAGAATAAGTTTTTGATTTTTTGTTTTCTATAATGTTATGCACGATGCTCAAATCTATGTAAAAGATTCTATAGTGAGATTTCATAGATGAACTATGATAGCAAAAGTTTCTGAAAATTCGGATACATTATTTTTCAAGATTCGAAAGCAAGTTTTTAATGATATCATTTTAAAAAGAATAGAATAAACGAACATCTCATTTTCTATGACCTTTCCTAAAAAACTTGAAAGTATCTTAAAATCCGGAAGAATGCACTTTTTAGTGGATTTTATGATATTTTTGACTTTTGAAGAGAAGATTATAGAAAATGCCACGATGCTTTATTTTAAAAAGCAGCTTCTAACATCTGAAAATGATATTTTTCTAGTTTTCTAGAATCTTTACCATCAAAGTTCATTGACAAAATCTTGATAAAATAAAACTACATTGACTATTAAAATCATTCTCCGAATTTGAACTAGATGTTTAACATTACAGAAGAAAAACAAAAATATACTTTTGTTAAACTTTTTTTTTTTTGTAATAACGTATGAAATTTTACTTCTAGCTAATCCATATGTATGTCGAGATGTATATGTATATTGAATCTATTATAAAAACTTATATTTATATTTATGATATTTGTTTTTTTTTCATAGTAACTTACTAATGGTGAAACTATTCGTACTGTGCATAAAATAGCTTGACAAAGATGATAATAACCATCAAGAAGCATGACGACTATTAAGAATTTGAAAATAACTTTCTCAATAAACAATAAATTGAACTTACCACTATGACATACATGATAACCAACAATTTCGATAATAAATAAAGCGATATTATTTATAAGAAGAATGTATGGTAAAATCATAATAAAATTTTCTAAAAATTTCTTTGACGAAGTAAGATTTGTTTATATTAAATTCTTACTTTGAAGTGTCTTTGTCTATTTTTTTTTTATGGAAGACAATATGATTTCTTACTGTTTATTAAATTGTGTTCGAAATCACGTTTTCTCTTTTCTTTCTTCGTTTCTTTTTTTTTTTTACATTAATACGCTTCAATTTTTTTTTTCTTTCTATGCAAACAAGTAATAAAGCAATCTTTTGGTTTCTTCTCTAATGCACTTAATACGAAAACGATATATATCAAAAAGAGTAATATTTATGTATACTTGTATTGTGAATCATTCAAGCGCAAATATATTTTATTCAATGCTTGACTGCTTTGCCTTCGAAAATTTGATATTTTGACGGTCTCGTTCTCCTTTTGAAGATTTCTTGAGAATCGATCATTAGAAAATTTTAAAATTTTCATGACAAAAATAGATCTTGATGAGTAGAGTAGAAGTTTTCATAGAGCGAAATTTCTTAGATATTAATATCTAGGAGATATTGAGGTTATAAAGAATCAAAAGAATTCATCTACCTTTGTTGAGATGTCATGTTTGATTGTGCTTATGAGTATTAATTTAGTCTAACTTTGAAAAGCAACGGTAAAGAAAATAAAAAATATAACATATTTTTGAATATAATATGATTTCAATGAAATGAAATCTGTTATATAAAACATTGTCAATTTGAAAAAAAGCTATTAACATAATCTCTGTGAGATTAAAATATGAAACATGATGCAACTACTGTTAGTAATCCAACAAGGTCTCTTAATTCTATCTATTTTAGGACATTTCTCTTCACCATTCTTTTATTAAATAATTCATATAATATAACGAGATATTATTGATATACAGTCTTTAAACGTATCTTAATAATGTTTGTCACGACATGTGAAGGAGAAGAGACGTATAAAGTTGACTTCCTGATTCTATTGACTCCGAGTAATTTCAATGTTTTGCAAAAATGAGTTTGATCACAAGAATTGGAGAGAGAAATTAACGTTACCATACTAAGTAATGGGTAACAGAAAAATCACGATTTTTTCAATAAACTTCGATCAAAAGTTTTCAGAGTTGCGGAATCGGTTTCTCGAAACTGTTCAGTTGATTTCTTAGTCAACTGTCATAAAATAGTTTTTGCCGTACCAACAGCATTACTTATTTCAAAAAACTAGTCTTTCCTCAGTAAACTCACAACTTCTCCATTACATGATAACGCGTAATCGTATTTTACAATACGTTCATTGTAGATATTATAAAGAGCTAAAACACTAAATTCACAGATCGATAAGTTTTTGTAGGACATTTACTATTTTGTAACCTAAATGCGTGTTAAATATTTGTTTTTAATACTCTCTTAAAAATGTATCATATCTTGATTAAGTTTCTACTCTTCACCATCTTCGAACAATTCCTGTTATAACATTTGTTCTAATCATTCTCAATATATTTCATCCGGCATTAATTTCAAATAACGATACTAGACTCTTTGTTTTGCATAGCATTTTATTTCTTATCATTCATGTAAAAAAAATAGAAAGATGATATTGATATAAAACTTGTTTTTTTATTTATTATGGTGTAGTGATGTTTTTCAGTTCTTTAATGTCATAAAATATTGAAGTATTGTTGATGAAAGAGATCAAGGTTGTTTTCGATCAATATTATTTAAGACAATTTTTATTTATCTTCTTTTTCTTTTTCAAAGGTATAGATTATCTTTATCTTTATTTTAAAGAAAAACCTAAGATAATTTTATACATCTAATCAAGCGCGAACATTATTTAGAAAGGTTCTCTTTGTTTTTTTTTCGAAAAGCTAAGTAATAATTAATTCTTTCTAGAAAATTTGATTTCATCTTAAATACTCATCATTGTTTCCTTTGATAGATTTTCAAAATATTTTTCAGATAGTGAAACTCGAAAATCGTTCGTTTTGAAGTAAAAACATTATTAAAAGAAATGTACGGTTTCGCAGATTGGTAGAAAACACTTCAAAATATGCACATCGATGAAAATCGAAAACATATTTGATTTTCGCATTCGACAAGGGCAAAGTGGGTAACCTTAAAAGATACAGAAAAAGATCAGTTGAATGATTCATTGAGTTTTATCGCAGAAGTATTTTCAACAAAGTAGTAATATATCTCTGGAAGAAAAACATAAAGAAAAAAGCTTACAGAAATTTATGGCTGATCATAATTTAATAAAATTTCTATTTGAAGTTTTTGCTATTGAATGAAACAGTTACGTTTAAAACTAGTATTGTTTTGACACAAATCATTCGATTTATTTTGTTTGTGTATCAGAATTGAAGTCGGTTCGGTCCGTAGTATCGGAAATAAACCTTAATTTAAATTATGAAAAATCTGAATCTATCTCATCTCTGTTTCTTATGGTGATATTTGTATATACTGAAGTTAAGTAAAAATAAGAGTCTTGCAGGAATCTAATGAAAACTTCTACCGTTTAATTGTTGAGAAAAAAATTTGCTGGTGGGATCAGAGCGACAATACAATGGATATTTTGACTTTTAAAAAGAAAATAAAAAGTAATTATCAGTTTTTGTTTTTTTTCAAACAAATTATTCAGTGTTAAATCATGGCCAATTCCTTTCATTTGACAACGAAGTTATCTACTCGATAAAATACGAATGATATGTGCATTTGTAGAAAAGCTAAGTAAACTGAACTATTCATCAAAATCCTTATCAAACTCGATGTTCTGTAGAAAAAGTTTCTATAATCCGAAGTTAATAAACGACTAAAGCTTATATATTGATTATTCATTGTTTGACTAAATTTCCAATCGAGTCATTGAAAACTAATTTGAACTGTAGATAGAATTATTTCTATATTGTAATCTTGCTGTACAATCGTGAATAATTCAACGAATTAACAATACATAGATATTTTAATAGATGATGTATACTTTCAAAAATAAAATAATTTACTAAACAAGATGGAAAAATACGATTCAAAAAGTTGTAAATCATAAAATATATTCCATAATTAAACTGATGTTCTCATAAATCAAGTAATCGTTTGAGTATATCTCCTGTAAAACAGCATTGTAATAAATTATTTCTTTTTGTTGATCATCAGTATGTTCGGCTATTTGATGTTCAAATAAAATGTGGTGGTGCTGCAAAGGCTCCTGAAAAAAAAACTATTGTTACATTTTTCATTGACTAATTTGTAAGCTTTCATGACAATTTAAAAACTTTGGTTCAAAGCGATGAAAAAAGGCGAAATGTACTCTTCTTGATAGTTCATTTGATATCTATAACAGTTGTCAATGTCAAACTAGCAGATATCAAATTTCAATCAATTGAAATTAGAAAAAAAAATAATAAATAATTGAAATAAATCTAAAATGAATTTTTTATGTTTGTTTTTTTTTCTTGATGAAAAATATTCTACAGCTATTTTAATATAAAAAACTTGTACATACATTAAATATAATACCGAAAACATCATAATCTTGTAGAATTAGTTCTATGGCGATAGAATATGAAATATTAAAATTTTTAGTCGAAAACAGGAAAATAAATTCATTTCGAAAAAGCCAAGAAAGTAATATCGCTGTGAGACTTGCTGAAACTGTTATAACTTGAGAATAATATTTTATATTTTTCTTTCAGTAATTTTCCATAATAATTAGTAAATGCTTTTATAGGTCTCTTTTTATCTGTTATTCAGCTCTTTTGATATTTTGCTATGATTATTATATTTTTAGACTGATAATGGAAGATGAATTGATGTACATTTTGATAATGTCTTTTGACATAATGATCTTGATTGAAAAATGGTTTAAAGATTTTATACTGATATACCAATAAAAAGCATGAGAGTCGCTACTATCGAATTTTATTGAATTTATAAATATAAAAATATTATTTCAATAATAACACAAATAAAATTTTACTATATAAAATAATAAACAATGAAATCATAATAAATATATATATCGCTACATGCAATGAAAACGATACATTGATTCTAACGCTTATGAATCGATGTTGTTGTTCTCTCTATCATATAATAATTGACATTCTTAAGTTCGAAATAAACATATACATTCACATTAAACAATGGTTCTTGTTGAAGACGTTTCAAATAATTCTGATTCATCATCAAATCAAAATAATGAAGCATCATCAAATGCTTCAGCATCATCATCATCATCACCACGTCCACCATCACCACCACCACCACCACCACCATCATCATCATCAATAATCAATACATTACTTGAACGTAAAACTGATGCTGTTCTATTATTATCACGTTTAGCAACAATATTTTATACAATTATGTTTATTCTACCAATTTTTCATTCCGAATCAAATATATATTATACAAAAGCATTATTATCATCTGTTGTTACATCAATATTACGTCTTCGTCAACGTTTACCAAATTTTGAATTATCACGTGAATTTTTATTTAATCTATTTCGTGAAGATAGTGCACATTATTTAATGTATTCATTTTTATTTTTAAGTAGTACACCAATGACAATTGTACTTATACCAATAACAACATATGCTATATTACATTCATGTGCATTTTTATCACAAATTTTAATTAATTTTCCAGTTATACAACAATTATGTACACGTATAACAGAAAATCAAATAAGTTTATTAAGATTTGTTGCATTAAATGAAATCGTACTTATGCCAATATTAATTTTATCAATATTTGTTTCACGTTCAAATTTTCTTTTAATATTTATGTATTATCGATTTCTTACATTACGTTATACATCACATAGAAATCCATATACAAGAAATTTATTTTATGAAATACGTCAAAGTGTTGAATATTTATGTAATAAACCAGCATGTCCACCATTTATTGGACGTATTTGTTATAATACAATTGCCTTTATTAATCGATTGGCTCCGACAAATGGTTGAAAAAATATATATGTTCAAAACAATATAAATGAACTTATTTCAAAGCTTAAAAAGTTTCTTTTTTTTTTAATGTTCTTACTTAGATTTCAATACATGTTGTTCTACATCTGCTCTTTATGTTGTTGTTCGTAAACTATATAAAAAAAAAAACAAAATCATTCATGCTCGATTTCTTTATCTGTTATTTCTTTATTCTAGAAAATGTAGTTTGCCATGGTTGCTTCTTGTTATCATTGAATGGCCGCTCGAGTTCGAGCGTCTTTCGCTGATGATGACTCGATAAGCGACCACTTACATATTGAAATGGTTCGCATTAACGCACCAACAACAACATCAACAATTACTCATAATGATACTGATGGACAAACAACATTGAATGAATCAACTGGAACAATAGGTGTTAATACACCACCTAGAAATGATTTTCTTATAACAAATAATCCTGGTTTAATTGAAGGAATTAATCGAGAATATGAAATACCAAATTTACATACATATAGAAAAGTAATTTTTAACAAAAATCTTTATATTTGTTCTTTTTTTTTTTTTTTTTCTATAATTTATTATTTATAGACTGAATCATTACTTGAACGAATGCAAGATGAAAATAATGGTTTACCAATCAAATCAGTTAAAAGTTTTATGTCAAAAATTCCAAGCGTTTTCACTGGTGGAGATTTAATACAATGGATTTTAAAAACACTTGATGTTGATGATACAAGTAAATAGATTTTCAAAGAAAATATTGTGTGCACAAGTTTAAATTGAATGTTGCTCTTCCTTATGTTTTAGCAATCGAGGACGACAGATTTTTCTTAGAGTTTTCCTAACAAAGAAAATAAAAAGGTGTTGAATGACATTAACAATAAGATATAAACTGCTCTTGAATATTCTAAACACAGTTGCCATATAATCAACATAAAACGAGTGAACTGAGCAAGTTTTACTTTAGAAAAAACTTGATGTCAGTGTATCTCAGCTTTAATAGTTTGCTGATATTTGTAATGACAAAAAATTTCTATTTGAGAATTCAGAAATATATAAGATAGATCGTATCTCTGATAATGGATAATATTTAGGAAAGAACTTTAATCTGTTAGAGATTTTTCACTTAACTGTTTATGTATCATTTTTCATTTGCCACAAAATGCTAATAATTACTGACCTAAGAGAAATGAAAACTATTTTACTGAAATCTAGTCGTTATTCTCCCGTATCTATAATACGAATTTTAAATTCTAGCTATTTTATAATCACGAGTAATTTTGAAGTTTGAGGTCTTTTTCATCGATCGTCAGAAAAATATTCATAGAAAATGAAAATTTGCTAATGAAAAAAAAAAATACATAAAAAGGGATCATCCATGCTACTATATATTTTTTTTAGTTAATATCCTATCGTATTTATATAAAAATATAATGATAGAAACTATCCATAGGTAAGGCTTTGTCAACAAAACTTTATATTCATCTTAACTTGAAGTCATTTTATTTATTTTGTATCATCTTTCGCTTCACACACATATACAAGTAAAATTAATGACATATTTGAGATTCGACCACATCGTTGCATTCTGCTATTAATATGCTTTCATAAGCTATTCGAAAATGGAGAAGTTTACAAAATTCTTTGCCCTATAGAGCACATCAGATTGAAAATTTTCTAAATTACATCGGAATTCGATGGTAGGATTAATGTGTTTTTTATTAGTATAATGATGAGTCTAAAGAAAACATGTGAGTTCCATATGTTAACCATCCTATGGCAGTTGCATTGACAAATTTATTTTGAATGTTTAATTCATATTTTATTTAGCTGAAGCTCTTCATCTGGCTAATCTTATGTCATCACATGGTTATGTAAGATAAACTATCTAATTAAGAAATTAATAATTTTTTTTTCTTTTTTTTTTACTATTATTAAGATTCTACCTATTGAAGATCATGTTTTAACTGTAAAAAATGATGGAACTTTTTATCGTTTTCAAGTAGAAATTGATTTTTTATGAATTAAAAAAAAAAAGAAAATGTTGATTTTTATTTTTCCCTAGACGCCTTATTTTTGGCCTTCAAATCATCTTGAAGCAGATAATATTGATTATGGTGATAAATATTTTCTTTTTTATTCTATAGATTCTCTAGAGAAATTTCTATTTGATATTTAGCTGTGTATTTATGTAAACGAACAATGCAAAATAAAACTCGATTAGAATTAGCTGATTATGAAGCTGAAAATTTAGCACGACTACAAAAATTATTTGCACGTAAATGGGAATTTATTTATATGCAAGCTGAAGCACAAATAAAGTAAATCAAAAAAAACAAAAAAACAACATACAAAATATTTATTTGTTTTATTTTTTCAAAAAAAACAAAAAAAATTTTCTTATTAGAGTTGATAAAAAACGTGATAAATTTGAACGTAATGTACTCGATTCACAAGAACGTGCTTTTTGGGATGTTTATCGACCAGCACCTGGATGTATTAATACAACTGAAAAAGATATTAAAAAATTATTACGAAGAAAAACAACTTATTTAACTCCACGTTTATTAATTGATACATATAGAAAACATTCAACAACATCAACATTAAGTACAGCACCAGCATCAGCACTTGCATTTGCTGCTAATAAAAATTTAATAACAATGACTGTTGGTCTTTTATCAACAGAATCTACGACAACAACAAATATAAATTCATCAAATAGTTCTTCTCAAAATCGTTCATCATTTTTACGTCAATGTGATGAAGCATTATTAATTGAACAATTATGTAAAGAAATACAATTTCTTAAACATCGTATTGAAAGACGATGTTTAAAAACATCCAAAGTTTCAGAAAATTCTGTTTCATATTTTGAACAATATGCAGAATTTGATCCATTTATTACATTATGTGAACCATCTAATCCATGTATGAAACTATTACCAATAAGAACATATTTATATTAAGAAATATTAGTTGATTTTTTAAGAGAATACAATATTTAAAATCAATCATACATGAGAATTTTATTTATAGACTGACGTTGATTATATCCACCTCAGAAGGATTAGTTTTATTGACATTTAAAATTTTCTATAGAACTTAGGATTCAAATCACTAATCGTCTTAATTAATATTGCAACAAAACTTGAATATCAAAAAATTTGCCGAAAAATCTAACGAGAAAACATATCCAACAATTGGATATCTTTCAATTTCATATGATGGTTACGAGTAGAGCTGGATGAGATTTAGAATAGTACAAAGGAATTTGAGCTTATGTCCTATTCATGAAGAGTTATTCACAGAAACCATCGAAAACACCTATTTTATACTCGACAATGGATACATCGACAGTTGAGCCTTTGATAGTTGAGCCCTGACAGATGAGCCCTCACATATGAGCCTATCGACGTTTGAGCCCTTGAATTTGAGCCTCTCGTCATATGAGCCTTTAATATTTGAGCCTTCCATCGCTAAGTTTTGTTGACAGAACAATAAAGACATATGAGCTCTGTATACACAATTATCAAAAGTATCATTGAATTGATTGTCATTTATACAATAACATCAAACATATGTAGATGACTGAAATCGGGTGTGGGTGTAGAGTGTTGGTCTCTGGCTTCACATAAAGACAACCATACTCACACCCACCCCCATACCCACACTCTACAATGTCAAGAAATGAATACTTTAAAAGAGCCCGAGCTTTGTTTAATTTTTGAAATTATTGAGTTCTGTATTATAATAAGTTCTTTATGTGGTTAATAAATTTGTTAGGCTCAAATGTCAAGGGCTCATATGACGAGAGGCTCGAATACAAAGACTGAAATGTCGATAGGCTCATCTGTCGGGGCTCAACTGACGTGTCACCTCGACAATGTAATATCATGTACGACTGTTTACAATGCTGTATTAATGAGATGTTTACTAAGATCAACACATTTTCGAAAAATTCAAAGCAAAAACTTTGGACTTGAAATTTTCATTATAGGCATATTTGATAATCATTAGATAGTTCTAAAAGTTTAAACAAAAACGAACGTATATTTCTCGATATATTCAATTCCTGAAAAAGACAGGAATTTATCTAACGAAGACATAGTAGTCAAATCTACTTGAAAGTTGAATATTTCATTATGAAAAAATATACATGTGTAAGAAATACTATCTGATATGCTTCGAAAGGCAAACGATTCTATTGAAATTTATTAATTTTTTTTGTTTTGTCTCTATAGAATATTATTTGTCTTTATTTATAGGGATAACTGATTCCACTGATCTATGGGAATTAGAAAAAGCTGTTAGTTCCAAAGACATATCAGCAAGGCGTATTAAACGTTGGAGTTTTTCTATAAATGAATTACTTAAAGATCCAATTGGTCGTGACCTTTTTTGGAAATTTCTTGATAAAGAATATTCAAGTGAAAATTTACGTTTTTATGAAGCATGTATACAATTACGTTTTCATACTTCACAAAAAGATGTACTTAATCGTGTTAAAGAGATCTACAATGAATTTCTTTCACCAGGTTTTTAATGTTTATTAATTTTAATTATAGAAAAAAAAAAAAATTGTTTTTTCAATTTTATCTTATCTAGGTGCTTATTATTCGATAAATATTGATCAACGTGTCATGAATTTAACTAAAAATAATATGATTAATTTCCCTAATCGATATACATTCGATGAAGCTCAGGTTTATTTTTTTGTTTCTTTATAAATAAATATTCCTTCTTTTTTTTTCGTTATATTCCTATAGGATCACATCTTTAATCTAATGAATCGTGATACATATGCTCGATTTTTACGTTCAGAAACTTATAAAGAATTATTATTAGGTGGTAAGAAAAAAGTAAGTTTTCATATTTAAATATTAAAATATTTTTCATGTATTCATTAAAACACTGAGCCATTTCACGTTAGCTACGCCTGATCTTGCTCAACTGATAGTCGCCGATCTAGTTTTTTTTCTTTAAAGTCACTCTCACCATAAAAAAAATACATT